CGCGGCCTCCCTGGAGAAGGGCAACCCTCCAACGCTGACTTATATGCTTCGCACTACCAAGGAATCTCGACGACTTTTTTCTCTTTCATTTGCTTCGCCGAACTGTGCACCATCGGAAGACATCCACGGCGACGGCAGAACCGGACACCGACCAAACTGGCAACGAAACTGACACCTACCGAACCTACTGCGAAACTGGACCCGAAACCGAGACTGGCAGGACGAACACAGCCGAGCAGGACGCAACCGACGCAGCACCCGTCCGACTCGGCCCCTTCCGAATGCAGCTGGCTAATTACGGCGCCGCTGACGACGACAGCGGCGGCAGCGGCGACAATCACGACGACGGCGCGCGCTTGCGCGCAAGCGGTCGGCGCCCACCCCGCCGCGCGGCGCCTCCAGGCGCGCGCGCGTGGCGAAGCCGATGCAGCGGTCGCCCGGGCCGATGACTGGGAAGTCGTCCACCTTCGTCACCCAAAATGCAGCAAACTCGTAGTCGTCTGCGTCGTCGTCATCGGCGGCGGCGTCGGCGTCATCGTCGTCAACGTCGTCGTAATCCGTAGCCGGCCCCCCTGCGATGACTTCCTGAATTTAAAAACCACGGGTGGCCACTGGAGGCCCTTGGGGACCTTTGGACCACACCTCCCAACGTCGTATTTTTGTTCCAAACCCTCCTGTTGTGGGTTCTCCTTTTTCCCCACATCCTAAGTGGGGTTCTTGTTTTCTCTGCACCCCCCGCGCAGGATCTCTCCTCCCCCCTCTCTTCATCACCATCGCCATCACCATCACCATCACCATCACCATCACCATCATCATCATCATCATCATCATCATCATCACCACCACCATCATCATCATCATCATCATCATCATCATCATCATCATCATCATCACCATCATCATCACACGCTCTCACACACTCACACTCATATATCACTGCTCCTCTCCGCCTCATTTACTCAATTCATCGTCATCACTCACACACTCACTCGCACCCACACTCACACAATAGCACACTCACACCCACCACGATCACCATCATCATCACGCGATCACTCACCCCCTCGCTCACTTACTCATCATCATCATCAGCATCATCATCATCATCACCATCATCACCCACTCACTCACCACAATTATTACTCACTCACTCATCATTTCGTCATCACTCACCCCCTAGCTTGAATATGGAGGAGCTATCAAGCGGGAGTTTCGTCGATGGGTGAATTGTGAGGAAGTCGAAGACGGGAGCCCCCTCCCTATGGGTCCCGCACTTCATGTTGGAAATCCGAGCTGGTCATCCTCAACCCTGTAGCTGTCGTCACTTTGGGGCTCCTCCAGCCTGAATTTGAAAGAAGTCTCAAGCGGGAGCTTCGTCTGTGAGTGAATTGTGAGGAGGTCTCAGGCGGGAGTTCCCTCCCGATGGGTCCCGCATTTCATATAGGAAATTCGAATGGGTCATCCTCAACCCCGTCACTTTTGGGCTCCTGAGGCTTGTTTATATACCTCCCTATGGGTCCCGCGTTTCACGTTGGTAATCCGAGCGGGTCGTTCATCCTAAACCTTGTGACTGTCGTCACTTTAGGGCTCCTCAGGCATGAAATTGGAGGAAGTCTCAGGCGGGAGCCTCGTCTGTGAGTGAATTACAGAGAAGTCTCACGCGGGAACCCGTTTCCTACAGGGCACGCGCTTCGCGTTGGTAGTCCGAGCGCGGTCATGCGAATTCTTAACCGTCGTCACTTTTGGAATCCTCGGGCCTGAAAATGCAGGAAGTCTCGAGCTGGGGCCTCGTCTGTGACTGGCTCGCGAGGGAATCACGAGCGGGGGCCCCTCGCTATGGGAACCACTGGAACACGTGTAGTACGCGCACCCTTTGGGACGAGCCTTGCACGCACCCACAGTGACACGCACGGTGTGATACACGCGCACCCTCTGGGACGTGCTCCGGCACGCACTCACTGGGACACGTGCAATACGCGCACCCTTTGGGACGTGCTTTGCACGCACCCAACGGGACACGTACAGTATAGTACGCGCGCACCCTCTGGGACGTGCTCCGGCACGCGCCCACTGGGACACGTGTAGTACGCGCACCCTTAGGGACGTGCTACGCACGCACCCTGCACGTCCCGAACATGCACAAGACGGAGGAGATCCACGGCGTGTTACACGCACGCGTCGGCATGGAGGTTCGGTTCACGGCCGTGCAGGAGGAACTGCAGAACAAGGTGGGGCTCGCGCAAGTGCAACAGGCCACCATCGCGTCCTTCCAGTTTCACCCAAACGACGAGCGGGAGTACGAGGAGTGCGCGCCGGGCCAGCTCTGTCGCCCCCGCTACCTACCGCAGGGAATCTGGCTGCAAGTCCACGGCTTCAAGGACTCCTCGATCTACTAGGAGGTCGCCGAACTGCTGCTGCAGGCGCCGAAGGCGCTGACGACGGCGGCGAGGCCGAGGTGCGGGCGAGGAGCTTGCTGATGTTGTGGCCCATCGAGCAGGAGCTCACGTGGCAGAGCTCGGGGACGCACGTCGTGCGCCGCTCGGGGTTTACCCTGACGCACGCGTCCTACCTGACATCCACGCTGTCGCAGGGCCAAGCGCTGCGCCAGGGCGTCACCATTGTCTGCGCCAGGGATGAGGACGCTGCAATCACGGGCACGTCACCCAATCAGTGGCGGCTGCACCTTTACGTCATGTTCTCCCGCGCCACGCTCACGCGCAACATGCTGATCCTGCGGCCGCCTTCGCGAGACATCCTGGAGCGCGGGCCGCCCGCGCCCCTGCGGAAGGCGCTCCGGAAATTCGACGAGAAATCGACAACCTCCGGGGATGAGGCCGAGCTCGCCGCCGAGCTTGGCTTCGTCCTGCCTCCCGCCCGAGCGTCGCGGCGCGCAGCTAGAGGCCCGCGGGGTTGTCCCAACGGTCTGGCCCGCGAGGTTGTCCCGGCGGCAAGCCCCCGCGCCCCAACGGCCCGCGGGGTTGTCCCAAAGGCATGGCCCGCGGGGCTGTCCCAAAGGCTTCGCGAACCAGCCGTCGGCGAACGCGCGCGCGCGCGCTGGCCGAGGCGGCGACGGCGCCGAGGAACATCGATTTGCTTGCCCTGACCAGGGGCAACTGAGGAGCACATGGAGAAGAAGCAAGGGAAGGGATGAGGACGGGAACGGGGTAGGGAGAGGGTGATAATGATGAGGAGGTGGAGAGGGAAAAAGGGGAGGAGGAGGAGGAGGAGGAGGAGGAGAAGGAGGAGGAGGAGGTTACATAGAAGGAGGAGGAGGAGGAGGAGGAGGATATATAGAAGGAGGAAGAGGAGGAGGAGGAGCAAGAGGAGGAGGAGGAGGAGGAGGAGGAGGAGGAGGAGGGGAAGGAGGAGGAGGAGGAGGAGGAGGAGGAGGAGGAGGAGGAGGAGAGGGCAGAGCAGAGGACGAGAGGAGGGTGTCCGCCAGAGCGAGGAGGGAAGGACGAAGGGCAAGCCAAACGGATGCTCATGCGGGGTCCTTCCGGCGGAGTCATGAATCGAGCACCGTGGTCTCCACCTCCTCTCCCGCCTCCCTTCTCCTCCGCACCTCTCTCCTCCTGCCGTGTGCCTTCTCCTCCTGCGCTGCTCCCCTGGGAGGCTGCGAACTGCGCAACCTTTCACCTCTTTTGCGGGCTTCTGGGACCTCCAGCGGAGTGGTGTCATCCGCGCACCCAGACTAGACCTCGCGGCTTCCTGGGGGGCTGCGAACCGCAAACTTGTAGTCACTTTCGTGGGCTGCGAAGCTATTGCCTCTTTGGTGGGCTCCTGGGAGGTCCAGCGGATTGCTGTGGTACGCGCACCCAGAATAGACCTCGCGGCTCCCATGGGGGGTGCGTACTGTGAAGCTGTCGCCACTGTCGTGGGCTCCAAAGTAGGAGGTGCAGCGGAATGGTGTCATACGAACACCCAGACTAAACACCTTGCGGCTCCCTGGGGGGGGGGGCTGCGCACATAGAACTTGTGACCACTTTCGTGGGCTCCTAAGAGGTCCCGCAGATGGGTGCTTTACGCGGCTCCCTGGGGAGCTGCGAGCTGCGAAACTATCGCCTCTGTCGTGGGCTCCTGGGAGGTCCAGCTGATTGCTGTCGTACGCGCACCCAGGCTAAAACTCGCGGCTCCCTGGGGGGTGCGTACTGCGCCGCGGTCGCCACTGTCGTGGGCTCCAAAGTAGGAGGTGCAGCGGAATGGTGTCATACGCACACCCAGACTAAACCTTGCGGCTCCCTGGGGGGGGGGGGCTGCGCACATGGAACTTGTCACCACTTTCGTGGGCTCCTAAGAGGTCCCGCGGATGGGTGCTCTACGCAAACTTGGACTAGACCTCGCGGCTCCCTGGGGAGCTGCGAGCTGCGAAACTATCGCCTCTTTCGTGGGCTCCTGGGAGGTCCAGCTGATTGCCGTCGTACGCGCACCCAGACTAAAACTCGCGGCTCCCTGGGGGGCTGCGAGCTGCAAAACTGTCGCCACTTTCGTGGGCTCCTAGGGGGTGCAGCGGAGTGGTGTCATACGCACGCCAGGACTAAACCTCGCGGCGTCCTTGGGGGCTGCGCACATGGAACTTGTCACCACTGTCGTGGGCTCCTACGTAGGAGGTGCAGCGGAGTGGTGTCATACGCACACCCACACTGAACCTCGCGGCTCCCTGGGGAGCTTCGAGCTGCGAAACTATTGCCTCGTTCGTGGGCTCCTGAGAGGTCCAGCTGATTGCTGCCGTACGCCCACCCAGGCTAGACCTCGCGGCTCCCTGGGGGGCAGCGCACTGTGAAGCTACCGCCACTTTCGTGGGCTCCTAGGACGTGCAGCGGAGTGGTCTCATACGCACACCCAGATTCAACCTCGCGGCTTCCTGGGTGGGGCTGCGAGCTGCGAAACTGTCGCCTCTTTCGTGGGCCCCTGGAACACAATTTTCGCTGGCTCCTGGGATGTTCAGCGGAGTGGGGGTTCGCGCGGAACCATTTGGGACCTCGCTGCTCCCTGGGTGGTTTGCACAATGCAACGGTCACCACTTTCGTGGGCTCCTGGGAGGCACCGCGGCGGTGAGGGCAGCGCAGATCCATTTGGGACCTCGCGGCTTCCTCGGGTGCTGCGAACTGCGCCGCGGTCGCCACTTTCGTGGGCTCTTGGGAGACACGGCGGAGGTGCAGATCGTGCATATCTGGCGATGTGTTCTTTTGTATGGAACGTTCGTGCGAACATTCGCCTCGCGCCGAGAAGAGGTTTGATACGTCTCGTTGTTGTTCACATCGTGAACCCCTCGAGGTTTCGATCCCTTCCCTGTGCCGCAAGAGTCAACATACTCGCCAACACGTGCGCCGTGGTTTTCTTGCACGACGCGATGGGGGTCTGGGGAGGCCTCCAGGGACCTCTGACTCGCAGAGCAACCTCCAGAACGCGATCCTCGAGGCCTGGGCCAGAGATCGTCGAGAAACCTCGCGCCCCGAGGCAGAAACGGCTCCCAGCCCTCCCCGCGGGGCTCCCCGGAAGGCCTCCGCACTGCACGCCGACGCCGATGTGGGCCGAGCGGGTCCTGGGCCCGTGCTCGGTGCGTGCGCCTGCCTGGCTCGCGCCGGGGGCGGGGTGCGCACCGACCTTGGGCCCAGGAGGGGCGTGGCCCATCTCGGCGTCGGGGCGTGATACCCTTCATGTCGCAACAAAGCGTGGGGGCGGGGTCCCAGCCTTCCCAGACGAGCCACTCCATACCACCACCCCTCCCAGACCAGCCATGAGAGGGCGGCCTCTTGTCCGACCCTTCTCCCCCCGAACCCGCCAAGGCATCTCTCACAGCCGACCCCCCTCCCCCTCTGTTACAGGAGGAGGAGGAGGGGGAGGAGGAGGAAACGGAGGAGAGGGAGGAGGAGCAAATCAGACCCCTACCCCCGTTTATGATTGCATCCAGAGCAGTTCTCGGCGTTCGACAGAGGGGGGGGGGGAGGGGGAGAAGGAGGAGGAGAAGGAGGAGGAGGAGGAGGAGGCGGGGGAGGAGGGGAGGAGGAGGAGGAGGAGGAGGAGGAGGAGGAGGAGGAAACGGAGAAGGAGGAAGGAGGAGGAGGAGGAGGAGGAGGAGCAAATCAGACCCCTACTCCCCTTTACGATGGAATCCAGAGCAGCTCTCGGCGTTCGACCGAGGGGGGGGAGGAGGAGGAGGAGGAGGAGGAGGAGGAGGAGGAGGAGGGAGGAGGAGGAGGAGGAGGAGGAGGAGGAGGAGGAGGAGGAGGAGAAGAAGGAAACGGAGGAGGAGGAGGAGAAGGAGGAAACGGAGAAGGAGGAGGAGGAGGAGGAGAAGGAGGAGAAGCAAATCAGACTCTAGGGGGGAGGACGCCTCCCGCCCCTCCCGGGCGGGGCCTCGCAGGCGAGGGCCTCCTCCACCACGCGCACGGACGCCTCCGGGGGCAGCCGCGCCGGCCCGGGCAGCTCGAAGCCGAGGGGGTGCGTGCAGAGGTCCAGGGCCTGCGGCGGCAGAGCGGCCGTCGTCGTCGTCGTCGTCGTCGTCGTCGTCGTCGTCGTCGTCGTCGTCGGCTTTCGATCGTTCGTTTGTCATTCGCGCCTGTCGTCGTCGTTTCATGTTTTCGCAGGCACCCGTGCGCACTCACAGGGTTTTGAAATTTCCCGCGGCGGACTCCTCCTCCGCCTCTTCCTCCTGCTCCCTCCTGCTCTTCCTCCTCCTCCTCCCGAGGCCGTTGCGGTGAGAAGGAGGGGGGATGAGGATGCACGGGGAAGATTCGCCATGCCAGGGCGAACCGCCATCCGTCCTCCGATGCGGGCTGCTGGCTGGGTTCGCGAATGGCCTGGATGTGCATGTCCTCGTCCTCCAGGAGAGCTGGCAGTTCGGCTGGTAGGAAAGGAATGCCCTTCGAGAGAATCTGCTCCTCGTCGAAACTCTTCGTGTTGATCCTCTGCCGTTCCACAGCCATCGAAAACACTTGCAAAAAGGCGCAATCTCAAATACAGGGTGACAACAGACTGATGATCTACGGAGGACGATGCCGCAATACACATGCAATCAAGTCGCACGATGTCGATGTGCATGTGGGTTGTGACGGTAAGTGCGTGCATGAGAAAGAGAACAGGCACAAGCAAACGGATAGCATGATTGCTCATTGGCTCATTGGGAGGCTGGGGCGACCCAGGAGAAACGAATCATGTGAGAAACAAATCATGTGCGGCACGTCTGGCCGTGGCATCGTGGGGGGGCACGACGAGGCAGTCAGCAGCTCACGAGTAAGAGCGTGGCGGCAAAGATGGAGGAACACAGAGGGGCGACTCGGGAGGAGGATGGAATGGGAAACGTGGGACATGACATTTTGCGACCGAAGAATTCCACCTACAGATTTGAATGCACGCGTGGCGATTCCGGATGCACATGGCTACTCGAAGTGATACGGCTGCTGCAACTACTCCTACAAAGGCGGCGACGACTTCGACTGCTACTACTTATCCTGATGCGACTGTGATTTTTTATATGACTACGACTACCACCACTACGAC